CTATACTATACAGTCTATTCTGTTCCATAATTAGCAGGATATTGCTGTGAACATTCTAATCCTCCAGCTTTATTGCTGGTGTAATTTAGGAACAATACACATGACTAGTGTGTAATGACATACTGTATTTCTGGAGGCAGCATGAACTGATTCCTATAACTCAAAATTGTTGCTGTGTAGTTCATGGTTAGGCTTGAGGCACATACAGTATGAGCCTGATGTCCAGCTCGCCAGATCCAAGTTAAGCAGGACAGGTTAACATTGCCTTCTATACAATTATCCCTAGTGCTTTCTGCAGCTCAGAAGACCTGTGTGAAGTATATTCTGTAGACAGGAAGAAAGAATTTAAACAGTATAAAAAAGCATCCACAAAGTAGCTCAAGAATATATTTTGCAATTACTTATTCTGTGGTGTTTCCTCTCACTTCAAAAGCATTGAATACTCTTACCAGAAATTAAGAAAATCGTGAGTATCTATTCCCTTTAAGACAAAATTATAGCATTTTTCTTTGATTTAGATTATAATTAATTATAATTCGCCTAAAATTAGATTAGATTAACATTTTGTACTGTGTTTAACAGAAATGTCTTCAGAAATGTTTAATATACACTGGGAGATGTAGAAATATATTGATTCTAAAAATGATACTATCAACCTTGGTACATCAGGACACATCTATATCAAACTTATGTTTACATTTTAAGGGTGACAGTTAAGACTAATGCATAAATAAATATCAAGATTAGAAAGGATCTTAAAGATATATCTTTTGGAAATAATAATAATAATAATTTTTTTCTTTAATTCTTGAAAATCCACTCTCGAGTTTCTATAGCCATATGTACAGCGCCATTGTCCTTTTTCCACTAGCTTCTACTCTCCATAAAATGCAAATATGGCATTCACCCATCTACTCTTCTGTAAGTTCCTCATTGCAAAGTAGCTCCTGTTCAGAAACAGATCTCCCTGCATGATCTTTGGCACAGAGTTTGACCTTCTGGTGTCTCAGTGAGACCTGGCACTGAAATTCTTCCAAGAAGCATCCGGGCTGGAAATTAGATATGTTTTCTCCAAGGGCTTTCCCAGCTAAGTAAACGTAAAAAAGTGTTTAGCTACAGTTGGTTTTATGCACATTAATACTGTCCCTGCTATGCGAGGCAGTGGAAATTTTCGTATTTAGCGTCTCCAGTAACACTGGAAAGATAAACCAGCAATGCGGTCAAGTCACAGTGCCCAAGATATCGATTGCACATTGATACAGCTTTAGAATACATAATATTGCAAATGCTTGTATTCAGCATTGGAGGATTCCCTATTATCTGAACAGTGCTGGCTGGATCTAATCATGTGTGGAAGCGGTTTTTCTTTTGTATATTTATGTGATGAAGTGAAAGTTTTGATCTTACTGTAGTTCTTATAAGATTGTGTAAGTGAGCACTGGGTCCCCATATTTGAAACAAAGTCATAGGCTGATGCATTCATTTCAGCACATACTGGTTACTATAGTACACTTAATTTTGAATGATATCTCTTTCGGGTTTATTGAAGATGTATTTATCTGAGCAAAAGGTAGCTAAGATGATTTTGGCAATGAGCGAACTTGTGTCAGAAAGTGCACATCGTTCAAAAGCACGTCTTACCATCTCGTTAGAATCTTTAACCAGTGTTTTTTTCACTCTTCTTTATTTATCCTTAGAGACCGATTTCAGACTGTGTTTTCTTTATTTTAATACCTCATCTCTTCTTTCAGTTGGAAATGTCTGTAGCACCACTACTTTTCTAGCTGAAAAAAATATTGAATTGACCACTACCAGCAAAGACTGATTTTCAAAAGTAGTAAAGAAAGTAGTAAGCTAAAAAAAAGTTCTTACTTAGCAGAAGACTTAGTATGGGAGTGCTCAACTGAGAATTTCATGCAGTACCTTTCAGTCAGCCATGTAACCTTAGAAATGTACAAACGTCTTAAAGATCACATTCGTGGTTGTTAGGGTTAGAGAGAAGAGGCTCAGATAAATATACACTAAAAGAAAAAACAATAAAAGAAGCATAAACTATATAGTATCCTGAAAGATCTATGTTAAAATGGAAGAGGAAAATAAAAATTCTACACCACCTGAACTTTGGAAAACAGGGTATTTAAAGCACACTGGTGATTTGTGTGGCACAATGAGTACAGTCTATTCAAAGCTGTAGTTCACAGAGAATACTAATCATTGTCACTTCTAACATGCCTACCCCCTCTGCTATTCTTTGGCCAGTTTGTTGCCCTAGCAATGGGCAAAATCCCAGTGACCATCTGCAGCAACATGTGGAGATACATGTCTCATTATTTCAAGCTTAAGTCACCTTTTGGACATAAAAGGATAAATTATGAATGTTCTTTCCCAGATTTCCCAGATTGTCGGTAAGTCTCCAAGAGGTTTCTAGAAATCAAGATTTGCATCGCTGGTTTACAATTAAAGCTAGTATTTATTTGGTTTCTTTTAAAATGACTTTTCCTCTTTTTAAATAAAGAAATGACCATAAATTGATAGAACACCGTTTTCATTGGTGAAAGACTACTGCAAATTAGATGCAAACCTAAAATAATCTGAAAAACTCAAATCTCAACCTTCAATTTCAGCTTTCAAGACAAGATTTGGGTACACATTAAAAGCTATTTCACGCAGTTTATCAATGCTTTTATTTTTTCAAGTTACGATCAACATTTTTCCAAACTGGGTTTTGTTTTTAACTGTAGCAATAGGGAAAACCTTTAACTGTAAGTGAAAACCTGAGATGAGAAACTGAAGACCCAAGACAGGAAGTCCTTTTGAAAGACATGGAACATTTTTCCGAGCCTTTCAGTAACTCCCAAGTCACCAGGGTCCTGTGAAAAAAGTTAACATGACATTTGTGTATTAATGATCCTTTTGGAAACCAGTAGTAAGTGTGCAGTCTGAGCCTCCTCAACTCCCTCAGAAATGTACCAATTTGTCTTAAAAAGAGACTTCCCTAGCATAGCACAAGCACAAACATGAGTTAAATGAGCAGTCGCAATTACATTCTTTCAAAGTTGTGTTAGCTGTGTAGTCATTCTGGCCCTCCAGTACAGAATCACTCACAAAGCATAAATAATTCAGCAATAAAGCCCTCTGTTGCTGCTCTTGTTTTTTCCAAAGCTGTGAAAAGGAAAGAGGTCACAAGGAAACATGAAAGAGCATCAAAGAGTCAAAATCGTAGACATATGAATCGAAATCGAAAGTCATATTTGACAAAATGGAGGCAGAGGTATATTCTGGAAAAACTATTGTCACTGTTGCTTGTTCTGTACTTGTTCACGCTATAACTCCTTTGGGTTTCCCTGGGTTTCTCTTTCCTTTCTCCTGTTCGTCAGCTTAAATCACACACAGAAAAAGCCTTTCTCTTGTTACTCACAAGCCCTTTACCCACGTTTTCAGATTCATGTCAACACGAGAAACCAGCAGTCCACATGGTGCAGTGAGTAATCTGAACTTTGAGAGGCCATCAGTCCTGCTATCGATTAGACTTTGTACACAACCAGAAATATCAGAAAGACCTTGAAATGGAGACAAGGGAAACTGAGAAATTCCTCCTGACAAGGGAGATGAATTAATGTCGATGAAACTCTATCCTGTGCCACACACTATCACCAGGGAGATTCTGAAATATGCTCACGGGCAGTGCCTGGATGTTTCCATAGAATTATTGAATCTCCCTTCATACTAAATCCTAAAACATTGATATCGTATAATAAAGAACAACTGTCTCATGTTTCCCTGCATATCCAATATAATTGCCAATGACATCCATTGGATATCACCTGTATGAATTTTAAAGAGTTATGAACACGAGGAATATGAATATATTATTTTCACCTTTTTGACTGACTGATTTCTTCTAATGAAGGACAGATGAAAGGTTGTTTGATAATACTGTACAGGTGATGCAAATGTCCACTTTGAGTGTTGCTGATTAGTTCTGATGTGCTGTTACGGCAGTACTGTACACCTCTTAGGAACCATAGTCAAAATGACTACCTTTACCTTCCCCGGTCAAAATCTCCAGATCTCAATGCTATTTTAAACCAGTAGAAGCAGCAGAAGGGTGGCCCTGTGGTGCACTGGTTAGAGGTTGGCATTGCTGCCTTGCAGTGCTAAGGTCCTGGGTTCGATTCTGAACCTGGGGTGCTATCTGTGTGGAGTCTGTATGGTCTCCCTATGTTTGCATGTTCTCCCAAAAAGAAAGACCAAAGTTTTAAAACATACGGTAGGTTAATTGGATTCTGGGAACATTGGTCTAAGTGCGAGTGTGCGTGTGTTGTTGTGTAATTGTGTGCCCTGCAATGGACTGGCATCCTGCCCAGGTTGTATCCAGCCTTGTGCCCGTTGCTTGCTGGGATAGACTCTAGCTCCACCACAACCCTGACCTGGAGGAAGCGATTCATTTTTGAAACATCTGAAAAGGCTCAGTCAACATGGGAAACAACATCAAAACAAATGGAAATACTGTAGATGGTTTTTTTTTTCTCAGTATCTTTTGAAAGTGGAGTGATGTGAAACTTTAACAATAGACCTCTCATGTCTCGTATTCGCTCACCTGATAACACTTGATTAACTGCTTCCAATCTACTCACATGTGTACAGTGTGAACAGGTTCTGGTGGTTAAGCAGATCTTCAACAATGTGTCAGCTAGGCACCAGCAGGGCACTTGTGAGCTCTATGATGAATTCCAACTAAGAAGAGTCATTAAAGGGCATCCACATTTACTCAGGTGGTTTACCACTCTGCTCTTGTAACGTACTGTAAATTACTGTGCGGTACTGGATAATCTGAAAAAGGTGAAAAGGGCCTCTTGCTGTGTTACAGGGAAGTCTCACTACAGGTGTCACCAGAAATGGAGGACCTTGCCTACTCAAGGACCAGGATCAAAATGTGGTTTTGCTCTAAAAGCAAACAGTTGTAGCATTTAGCACCGGAATCAGAAAAGCGATCTTACCTCCATCAGCATAGGTCTCCGTCCCGTATCCGTCTTGCAGGCCGTTATTCCAGGTCCCCTCGTACTTTGCGCCGCTGCCCTGGCTCAGGCGTGTTCCGTACCGCCCTTTGAAACCATGAGTCCACTCTCCTTTGTAAACCCAGCGCCCTTTGGTTTCGACGCCCAAGCCGTGACGCTTTCCCTGGGACCAGTACCCCTCGTACGTGTTTCCACTGGGCCAGGTGTAGACGCCCACCACCTCGAAGCCGTAGTTCCAGGAGCCGGAGAACTCCCCTTGTCCTTTGGGACCCGTGCAGATACCGTGACCGTGAGCTTTGCCTCCTTCCCAGCCGCCGCAGTAGGCTCCGCCGTCGTCGAACTCAAAGCGACCCCCGCTCATGCTTTCCAAACGTTTGACTGCGGTGATTTAAATCAGTTATTCATTTATGTGCAAGCTTACATGCGGCGTGATTAAAAGACACAGTATATAGAATCCGCTTGCAGCACTATTGAAACACCTTTAGTCATTTGCGATGCACAATATCAGATGTTTTTAGCTAAAGCAAAGTATTCGGAGACCATCGCGTACAGATTAGCTTGACTTATTCCAAACCTGCCCGTTTTGAACGCGTTTTGTTCTTCTTCTCCACTTTTATAATTGCTAGCTCTTGAGCTGCAAAGTTCTGCAAAACTTCAGCACATCTCGGTTGTCGCTCGCCAGTCGAGAACACAACATGCCTCTTGAAGAAAGATGCAGGCTTCCACTCTTGTTTTGAGACGATCTCTGTTGCGAAAGGTAAAAACAACTTTTTCCCCCCCACCTCGGCTACATGGTTTTCCAGAGATCCGTTTTTAATCTCTCGGTCGATTTGGCGGGCATTATTATTATCTTTTTGAAGGAGAAGCTGAGAAAAGCCCCTCTGCCCTCTCTCCCTGGCTCCTCTCCCCCTGTCGCTCTCTCCGCTCCCAGACCAGGGATGTTGGAAACGTCCTAACTCAGACCTAACAAGGCTATCGGCTACCCGCGCTGTTCCAAAAATAATGCCCAATCCTTTCTCCGCTGCGTGGCTCTTATTAAAGCGAGGGCCAGAACGCTTGTCACGAAGGGGCTGGGCACGGATGTGCCCATTTCAAGATCGCTGCTGTAGTAATTGTACTGTACCTTCAGCGTTTTTCTCCAGTTCATCTCACGTTATGCGGAGAAGTGCATCATTTTCTTTCCCTGTGTGGCAAAGTATGCTATTGTAGTTTTGCGGGTATCGCACTGAGCGGAGTATAAATCTAAAAATCCTGACAAAAAGATCTTGTTTCAAAAAGTAAAGACGATCGGAGTGTCGAAGAATTGTGACGAAGTGGTCCATTCTCAGTAATACTGGTCGCAAATCATCCCTTTTAATCTCTTCATCGCTTTGCCTGGGTTTTGTAGCTGAATCGAGCAGCGAAATGTGGTTAAGAAGTACTGTCGAATTCGGAAAACTCCGTTCTTGTTTCTTCTCTATGAAGAGAGAGTTACAATACATGTACATACAGTAGTTTCTTTATCAAAGGAAGCACAATTTACCGGAATGCATTCAGCGATAATCTTCTGGTCTTGATACCTGAGTTACTGTAGGTCACTGATACTGAGGCTACTGATATTGCCGTTATTATGATAGTGCAGCAGCTCTAACCACATATTTGCATTATTTACAGGTGATTACTTTATCCATGGCATTACACAGGGAATATGATAAGAAATTAAGACCTTGAAAATAGAATTTTGTCTTCTTTCGTCGCAAGCAGTTTTTAAAGAGATGAGAAGAAAAAGACTTCCAGTCTTCCTGTGCATTTTCCTGAGAGTTAGTGTGCCGTCATGTGATGTTCAATGAAAAAGACCCCCCAGCAGGCCAGGTAAATTTCAGGAGGGGCTGTACTGCTTCTCCTAACTGCCCCTTGGTGGTTAAAAAAAAGTGGAGAGGCTGTTTGGTCACCGTTCAATAATTTGATGCTCTGCAGCTCCAACGTAATCTACATTCCTTCCGTTGTTTTTTTGGCGTGAAGCCTAGACAAAGACCATCTTTAAGATCGTAATATAACTACTGCACAGAGAGAAATCGTGGCATGGAGAGAATTGATTGCGTGTTCATAGAGGGGGAGCTCCCGAATTAGTATAATTAGTATCAGTAGTTAAATTGAAATTGCAGAACTCTGTAGTTGAAATTTCCGATTATTCATTGATATGTGACTTGTGTTTGTAAATGCCTTTAAAACTTGCTTTTTACTTTCAGATTTTATCACATTCACTGAAAATTTTAATTTTTCCCAGTGCTGTGTTTCAATTATTAAATGTGATCCTCTTTATAATTTTGGAATGCACACCGGATGGCCCCCTCTAGTGGTAAAAGGTTATCTTTACATTAAGAATGTCTCAGGTGTGCGGCTGAGAGGTAATTAAACCGAAATATTCCCAGGCGAAAACATACAGTATTATCTCCTTTTCTACTGTTTGACAAAGAATAGAACTATAAATATAGTGCAAGGTCGCTAAAAGGAAGAGGTTCGTTCATGTACAATGAACCATACAATAAAATTTAAATTTAGAAAACCAGGGTTGTAAGATAAGATCAGATTTATTGCCCCCTGAGGGAAATTGCGTTATGGACACCCAGCACTCCTGTACATTTAAATAGAATGCAAACAAAAAAAGAGAAGGAAAGAAAAACATTGCACATTATTCTATTACAAAAAAATAAGAAAAACATTGCACATCACTCTAATGCACATGTACGGTATAACACATAACAACATGTAACATTTATAACACATCACAAAACATATTGCACTCAAGTGGGTTGTAAGAGTCATGGGTTGTAACTGACTGCATGTTACTGACTGCATGTTTTTTTTTTTAAATACACTCATCACACCTGTTGCATTTACAGAATATCAACACATTAACTAATGCTGCTCACAGAGGGTTATCTGTCATGGAATAATTTACAACAACAGGATATTTTTTAATCTCAGATTTTGGATTCCATCATACAACTTCACTATTTTCTGGAACGAATTACGTGCTTCCATATTGAAAAGGTAGTTCTGTGAGAAAAATGTAAGTTTTAAGCTGCAAATCCTACATAACTAGATTCCTTTAGGACTCTGATCCCCAAAATGGAAAACAAAATCCTAAAATATGTAGATCTGGTCTTTTTCCCCATTTTAAACAAGCTTCTGAGAAAAATGCAGATAACAGTCAACCCCGTCTTTTGTATAACTGTCTAAAAGTAATCAAATTATTGTGGAAAATAAGGTGATGGTCTGTCATTTTAAAATATACACTCCCATTAAAATGATGGAAATGTACTGTCAAGTGACCCAAAGATCTCATCCAGCCATTTCTTGAAAAAAGTCAGGGTATCTGATTCGACAACATGTCCGGGAAGCTTGTCGCACACTCCCACAACCCTTTGTGTTAAGATGAACCTTCTACCCTCAGTGCTAGATGCACCTCCCAGTAGTTTCCACTTATTGTATGTTCTCCAGTATTTATGGTTCAGTGCAGCAATCACCCTTTTTGGACTGTGAGAGGAGAGGAGGACAGGAATTTTGGTTCTGTGGCTAAGGATCTGCGTCTGTGGCTGGAAGGTTGCCGGTTCAAATCCAGCTGCCAGAAGAGGAATCCTACTCCGTTGGGCCCCTGAGCAAGGCCCTTAACTCCAACTGCTCCTGGGGCGCTGTACAATAGCTGTCCCTGCGCTCTGACCCCAGGCTCCTCTCCCAGTCTGTGTGTCTGTGTGTCTCATGGAGAGCAAGCTGGGGGTATACGAAAAGACAAATTCCTGATGCAAGAAATTGTATAGGGCTAAAAAAGTGATGTGATGTTATGTTATGAACAGTATAGTTATCTTCACTGTGTGCAAAGCATGTCAGGGACATTCATTCTGGTGTGGCAAGTTAATGCCTTAACCCACTGCTGTGTCCTGTTGTGGAAATCGTGTTTATTCAACCCCAATAATTAGGCTTGAACCAGAGGTGAGTGCGACGACAGCTTACTTTTATTTTGCTAAAAGGCAAAAAACAAATGTACACAACAAAGTAACTTCACTCATTTTTTCCTTCCCTGAAGTATGGCAGCTGTCCCAGACGTGCGTGAGGATCCCAGTGTCTACAGCCTTACTTCTTCCTTGAAGAAGAAATCCTTTTGTTGAGATGTAGATCTGATGCTGGAGTCCAGACTGGATCTCCCAAACCAAACGAGAGAAACCCGTCTGGGGTTTGGCTCCGTGCCTCCTTGTGCGGTCTGGCTCACACCGCCGTCACTCAGCGCCCTGTTTTGAGCTGACTGATACGATGGGCCGAAGCAGACAGCCAAGAGAGACAGGGAGGAGAGAGAGGAGTGAAAGGCAGAGGTCGCCAGTCCGTCTCCCCAAGTCCCATACAGGTTGTTCTGAAGGGCTTTACGTTTTGTGCAGAACATATACCGATAGAAAACGCAACCCGTATTTAGAAGCCCCTGGCAACATATCTTGGATAACGGAGTGTGACGTTCGTGTGCATGTGTGTATTTCTTATGTATATGGATCGGACATAGTGTTTTTCACTACTGTATATAATGTATGATACGTGGGTTATTTTTAAGCATAAATAATCTGCGCACGGTTAGACAGCATACGCCTATGCCTTATCATGACTGGAGAGCAGAGACTCCTTTCTACGAAGGATGACCTTGTCCCCTCCGCCAAGGTACAGCCCACAGCATGTCGATACAAAGAGGGGTTTCTCTGCGCATGCACTGTGCGGGGTCGCTGTGATGTAATACACACAGAATTGATTTGATGTTTTCCACGGTGCTGTGGCGAACCTGGGCTTTGGCAGGGATGTGACGCTGATCGTTTTCACGGCTTTCGGGACGTTGACGCGGCACAGCCTCGCTGAACTTGCTCGGCTTCCTGCGATGCTGCTGTCCCCAGCCGGCCAGCCGACTCGATGATGCTCTGTTCGTGGTGCTGAAGTTCCCTGCGCTCTCTTTCTCTCTCCCTCTCTGTCTCCGTCTCTTGTCTCCCCCCCTCTCTCTCTCGCTCTTTTCTCTCTCCTACGCTCCCCACACATCCACACGAACACTCTGTCATGGCGTCTTCCAACAATGTTACCCCTACTAACTGTAGCTGGTGGCCAATTTCAGCCATAGACGAAGACGGCAAGATCGCGGATGGTGAGGAAAGTCAGGAAGCAGCGTTAGACTGCAAGCCCACCTCGAAAAACAGGCTCGTTTTGTACCACTGGACGCAGTCTTTCAACTCGCAAAAGGTAAAGCCGTGTGGCATTGTTGTGTTTTCGTGTTTGCCATGGAAATTTCCAACTAGGCAGTCATGGAAACTGGGATGACCAGTTTTCACATGTGTGTGTTTCATTTTACCGAAGGCGTACAATTACGGCACACCTGGTAACGTCATTCTGCCGGCATCCGTTGATCTGTAGATGCGCTGATCACTGCAGCATGTGTATAAAATATCCGTAGCTCTAAGGTCGTGATCAATATTGTTCCAGATATTCCAAAGGCATCTCAAGGATTCAAACACTGGAATGCATTCTTCATTGTGTTTGCAAATCCTGCACTGTTTATTCCCGAAGGAACTACGCCCTAGATGTGCATTTTGTACTGCTCCTCAAACGTGACTTTATAGCATAAATAATTCATTGGGAATAGGTCCGTGGAGTAGCTAGCGACCAGTGCTGCATCCGTATTTGAAGCACCGTTACATCGCAGAACAGCCACGACCAGTGGTTGATTTTCATTAAAATTGCATTAATCTGGATCGGTAAGACTAGCATATGAGCACAGATAATCAGACCACTTCAAACTTGGCCACTGAAAAGGAAAAGCATGGCGAGCGCTTCCTAATTGTTGCTCGGCTTGCAACCTGAAGCCGGCTTTTTGTCACCGGCAAACCCCTACAAGTGACTGTCAAAGAAACGCTTTTTTTTTTACCTGAACATTTAAAAGATAGCGATGAATGGAAGTCCCCCGTCATATTTTTCGTTATCCGCAGGGCCGGCTAAATGTCACAGATACGTCTTGCTTATGCTGTATTTCGACGTGTCCTCTGTTGTGTGTTTGTAATCGTGTTGTACTGTACGTAACAAATAGATAGAGCCTTTTGAACCTTATTAACCAGCCAGCTCAATAATAATAATAATTTCAGCACAAGGCAGTTAGGTCTGGTCCAACTTTCAAGAAATGCAGCTTTGTAATGTTCGTCCAAACGCTGACTAACAGCTTGTATTGGATTCCTGGAATCCTGACAACCTGCTCAGTCGCAGGTACTGTACATACATACAGTAGTACTTTATTAATTCCAGCACAAAAAATGTTTTTATACCCCCTGTTTTCAAGTTAAGATTTTTAAGTTTCATCAACTGTTCAAGCTTTGAATCAAAGGACTTACTCTACCACTTTATCCAGGAGGTACTTTGATGTAAATTGTGGGGACTTGACAGAAGATAAGAGTGTTTTAAGTGGTTGTTTGCCTTTGTCATAAGACAAACGTTTTTAATTAGTATCACTGCTGCTGAAGAGTGAGTCTTTCATTGTGGCAGATACCACATAATTTAATATTACCTGGACCTGGGGAGGAATTGCAGTTACAGACCATCTACAGTTCCTGTAAGGATATTAAATTTCTCCACTGCAGGCTGTTTGAAAATGTAGACATTTCTGTCTAAAATTATCACTTGTCATAAATATACAGTTCCTTCTCTTTGCCACAAGGCACAGACATGACTTGGCATGGAATTGTATCTGTTTCCTTTTTCATCTCAAGCTGCAGACAATCTGAAACAAGCTCTGCATAATATACCGTAATATTTCTTATTTTTCTAAATGTAGCCATCTATACTGTAGGTCAATTCAATGTTCATTGAAAGGAAAGAGGGCAGCATGTTGGCACAGTGGTTAGCATTGGTGCATTGCGTCACTGAGGGACTGGGTTCAATTTCTGAGGTGCTATCTGTGTGGAGTTTGCATGTTCTTTTTCCCATGTCTGTGAGTGTTTCCTCCCACAATCCAAAGGCTTACTGGTAGATTAATAGGCTTATGGGAAATTATCCCTGTGTGAGTGTGTGTGTGTACTGTATGTGTTTGTGTGTCTTGCTCTGTGATGGACTGGTGTCCCATCCAGGGTGTACCCTGCCTTGCACCCATTGCTTGCTGGGATAGGCTCCAGCTCCCCTGCAACCCTGTATTGGATAAAGCACTTGAAAATGGATGGATTGTATGAAAATAATTTCTGCAGTTATTGCCAGCCAATCAAACACTTACACTAGTGACTAAAGGTCGCATTATTATGACCTTTAAAAGAAAAGCCCAAAGCATTGTATCTTCTAATTCATGTTTAAAGTTCATAAACCAATAAGAAGACAAAGGTGGAAGCCACTGGGAAGTCCATTTAACACTGAAAACAGGTGGTGGTTCTTTACACAAAGGGATGTGGGGGTTTGGAACAAACCAGCCAGCCATGTTGTTGAAGCTGGTAGCCTGGCTTCTTTCAAGAAGTGATGAGGTTCTTGGATTGCTCCACTGCTGGCAACCAAATAAGCTAGATGAGCCGATTTATAACCTTATGTTCTTGTAATACAGACATTCTCAGAACTAAACACACCATTTAGTTCCCAGTTCTCCTAGTTTAAGTGGACAAGAGAATGTCAACACAATTAAAAATGCATGCTCATCTCAACCACAAATCAATGTACAGTAAGTTCAGTTTCTTAGCTAATACTGAAGCCAAAACATGAAGTAAAATATAAAGGCCCTACAAAAAGATTAATATTAAAAAATCTCCAATTATGTCAAATACATCTGTTATATTAGTGCCTTGGTTCCAAACTACTACCATGTCCAGCATGTAAAATGAAGGTAACATAAGAACAAACAGAACAAGGTGGATCTTGATCATTTAACTGTTGCATTTGCTATAACTTTAACTACAGTGTTAGTGGTGCTGAACTAACACCACTCCAAAGCTAATGAGAGAGCAGCAATGTAGAAATTCCGTGTTCACCCAAAGACTGGTACCAAAACCTCATGTCTAAAAAGATGGGATCCATGAAGAATGTTGGAAGATCTCAATTTTCTCTACTGTCCAGTTTTACACCCTGCACATGACTAAGATCACGGGCTGGGGTTTTAACCAGCAGCAGCAGGATCTCGGCAGGCTCTGTTTTGGTGAATCTGGCTGCTCCGTCTTTGGCTCCCTGTCCTGTGTGCTGGGCTGGTGCTCGGCTCTGAGACTGTGAGACTACGCTCATCTTTTTCTGTCCATTTAAAACTGCCGATTTGAGCAATTGAAAGTAGGAGACACCAGTGGATGACAGACTGTACTTGTCATGATTTTAAACCACACAAAATTCGGTTCCCCTTGATGGGTTGACAAAAATGTTGTCTGACCTTCTCTGGGTTGCTTAAATATGGAGGAATAGGAAATAGGGAGTAGAAAGGGGTAGTTGTGAATGGAGCTTGATGTCTGAAAGGTGCAGTTACAGTACTTGGCTTCAATCTGTAGGTAGCAGCAGCTATAGAGGATAAGAGGATATGAGCTGAGGGGTCTTTACTAATAGTTGTAAGAACATTGCCTAATATAAATCTTACTCAATGTAGAGTAAGTATGTCTTCAGAATAAAAAAGTAAAATGTTGCAGAAATCCCAAACCTTTTTCATGAATAAGGTTGAGGTATTTGATCTAGACAGCAGGAACAGCAGTCAATCACACTAATAAGTTAAGAAGAAGTGAAACAATCCAAAGAGGTCAATGAAATTAAAAGATTTATTTATATCTATTTTGTATCTATTCTTTAAGGCTGCTTTCAAAGAATCCTCTGAATTAATGACATGCAGTAATCTATAGGTTACAAAATGGGCAAATGTTTTCAATAGATAATGAGTAAAATAGCTTGCCAATAGTGCATAGTTTTAAAAATGCCAAATCGTAGGCAACAAAACAGGTGAGCTGTGAGAATTATTCTTTAATTACAACCACCTGAGTGTGACTCTGACTGTGGTGACTAGATGTTTTTTTATGTTCAGTTAAAAATCCATAGCTTACTTACTGGAGTGTGAGTCAGTCTGTTATCATTTCGAGATTAATGGTGTAGAATTTCATTTTGTTTAAACGGGGGAGGATGCTTAACTCCTCAGGCTTAAAACAAAAATTAAAATCCTCGTGCACTGGATATGATCTTAGCTGTGAGATCTTGACCGTATGAGAAGCAGAAGGTCCCCCTTGCTTCAGCACACTGTCTGTAACTCTAGGTGGGAGAAGTCTTCCCTTTGCAATGGCTTCGACTGTTGGAACCCCCAAAAATCACTACTCGAAGAATCGTTCTGTAAAATGGGGAATATTAATCTTGTCCGCCCTTCCGTCAAACCTTTAGTGACGAGCCCATGATAAAAAAAAATCTGAAGCAATGGTTGGCACTTTGAAGTATTTATTTTTGTAACTACATTCCTTTTTAAGGAGTTGTATTTCATCATCTTCGAGGATCTTACAATTGTTTTGCGTTCTTGACTGCAGAACAATGCAGTGTTATACAGAAGATACAGAGCTCTTACTTAATAGACTCTTTAATCCAAAGTCACTTTACAAAAACTAGGTGGTGAGCTGCATATCAACCACACGTAGTTATTAAGTGGAAATCTCCTAGTGAAAAGCCCTTTACCTGAATGAATCAATCAACCTATTCTTCTAATTGTTAGTTAAACAGTGCTCTTTTATTATTATTATTATTGGAGAATATTGTAATGCTTTGGGGGTCACGTGGGCGCCCTCACCACTGCCGCATCAGGTCGGCCCCCACCGTCGGGGATTCAAACCCAGGCCTCCAGTGTCACTCAACAGGGACCCAGCCTCTTGAGCCAAAGGGAAATCTCCCGTCAGCCCGGCAGCTGCAGTCCCTGCTATCCACAGGGAAGGGCGGTGACGTCACCGCCCTGGTAAGCCAGCTCTTGCAAGCAATGGAGGCCGTATGTGTTACAATATGTTCCATATTTGTGACCAAAGCAGAGGATGTGGCCAGCCAACTAGAATGTCCCTGAAGACTATCTTAGTCATAGCAGATCATCCCTTTCTTCAGTGTGCTGTGCTGTGGACAAGGAGGTGAATATACTGTAGGTGACCTCAGAAGAAGCTAAGGTTTTTGGTCCATTTCCTTCATGTGCATCACTGACGGTAACAGTAGAATAGGCTAACATGTCAATTCAGACATATTCATTCAGCCCGTGGGTTTTACAAGCAGTGGTTATAGTGTGTTATAGC